AGTACCATCGTCATACTATACGGTTCCACAGTCTCCGCACCCTTCTGTGCAGTCGCGAACGTACGAGGCGTATTCGGACGCTTATGGGCTGCGCGCATACATCAAGCGGAAGACAGACAAGCGTAGCCCTCGCTCTTCTAATGAGAAGGTTCCCGCTGGCGACGACCCGCAAGCAACACGCCCCGCGTATCCTTCACGTTACGACTATGCGACGACCGCCACACTCGCACAACCACCCGCAACCACAACCTACTACACCGTGCCTCCCGATCAGAACGCGCGCGACGTCTCCTCGCGACACCATCGCGACCGGGAGAAGGACAGGGAGAAGTCAAGTAGACGCGACGTCGAGAAACTGAGTATGCGAGACTATGAAGCGGAGCGGAACGAAGAGCGGGAGAGGAGAGAGAGACGGCGAAGGGAAAAGGAGGCTGCGAAGGAGAAGGAGCGGTCTTCGAAGGATCGAGACAGGCACAAGGACAGGGAGAGATCCAGACATCGCGAGGTGCAACCAGCAGCCGATCATAAACCTCCGGGCGCAGCCAGTATCCATCAAGGGTACGGTCAAGGATCCGCTCCTGTTGCTCACAGATCCGCAGACAGGTTGCCGTCCGCCTATCCGGTGTGTATACCTCCTCAGTAGTATGACTGTGACATTCTGAATCTCATTGCTGGATAGGACCAGAGTCGTATTCAGTCACAAGCAGCGCACATTGGTGCATCCACAGCAGCAACCAGCGTACCATGGACAGGGCTCGCCGCAGGCGGACGGACACCCTCCGTGAAGGTACCTGCGCCTGCTGTCGATGGAGGATACCCTTCCGCGTCCGACCGAGAGGATCCCCCACTACCTATCCCGCCTCCCGGACACAAACGCGAGCGGTCTTCAAACAAGACCGGGCGTTCCCAACGTCACCAGATTCTCGCCCAACAGGCCGCTCAGGATTCTGGCATCTCGAGCAGTGAGCAGGAGCACTCCGGTATGGAGCGGGTGAGCCACAGCTCCACATATGTCACTCTGGTCTCCCGTACTCACTGCCGTGTAGGTGAAGGTCACGGATCGTCGCTACGTTAGTCGGGAGCAAGCCAGCACCTTGGGACGTGGGCAATCATCTGGGCCTTCTGGGAGTGAAAATGAGAAGGCTCCCACTATCCAGAAGGAGCGCGTGAGTTGCATCTTGTCCCTGCCTTACAATCGCCCGCTTATCGCTACTGTAGCGCAAGCATCGGACGCACGGAGAGTCTTCGCGTCACAAGCCCAAGACTACCGCTCTCGATGGCCAAGCATCGTCGGGGCCCACCTCCAGTCAGGAGATAGCACAGGCATGGTACCAGCGGGTAAGCGCTACAATCGTAGGAGACCACCTGCTCTCAACTCACGAACTGTACGTTCTCAGCATCAGCGAGAGGTATCCGCGACGAAGCAATCAGCAGCGGCAGGAGGTTCTTCTCAGCATCCCTCAAACGCTGTACCTCATGACGCTGTGTCTGCACACGCCGGTGCGCCTCACACTGGCAAGCCTATCGCACACGTAGGTCTGACCACATATCAACGTCCTACGCCCCAAATAGTCAGCATTCGCGCTGCTCAGGGTCCGTCCGATCCGCACGTAGGCACACTGCTTCCCAAAACGCACAACGCAACTTCTGTGAATCGTCCGGGAGAACCGCAGCCAGTAGATCGCGCGTACGAGACCGGTTCTCGTTCTCAAGCTGCAGCACAGTACCATCAGCAGTCTGCTGCGCGACAACTGGACGCAGTGCTGCAACCACCACCTAGTCAAGCCTATACATCTATTCCCGGTGACACTCCCAGGGTCCACACTTCTGTCATCCCGGGCGCTGCGGGAGCGTATCAACAACCTGTCCAGGGCTATGCGAACGCGGCTTCACATCCACGACACGCGGAATCCAACGCGGTGGTTTCCGGGGCGATTCATGCAAGCCACCAGGCCGCGCTACCGGACGTCGTGGTGCGGCCTCCGTCCGCTGCTCCCACTTACCACGATCCGTACTCTTCACGGCCACCTGCGGATGGTCCACCGCACCAATCCGGCGTGGTTCTTGGGCAATCGGCCGGGCGGTTGCAGGTCCCCTCGCACGACACACGCTCGCGTGCAACCCCAGCACCTGCGCAATCCGCGAGCCACTCGCATGCTGCTCTCACAACTCCTCAACAATCGTCTTACCAGCAGTCTCATCCTTCCCATCAACATGAAGCGGATCCGTATCGCTCAGCCTCGCTTGGCGCAGGTGGATCCCAGCAGTACGGCGTTTCCGACATTCACCGAGTTGCCAGCCCAGCGCCGCATGGGTCCGCGCATACGAGGGGCGCCTCTCAGGACTACCCATCGAAGTTTCCACTTCATGAGGATCCTGCAGGTGCCATTGCCTCATCCACATATGGTAACCAGCACACTGCGGTGGCATACAACCAGCCTGTGCAGGCCAACTCGCGAGCTACTGCTTCCGCGAACCACGGGCAACCCTCCGCGTCTCCAAAGCGGAACATGACTTACCCAGGAGCCTCGGCGCCTGCACCAACGCCTACAGCTCACGTTAATCCATCTAACTACCATGGCGCTACTGCTCACGATCTGCGGTCTCCGAAACCTCCTTCAGTAGCGACTATCACGCCCGACACCCCGTTGGCGCGATCCCAAAGTTACGCTGCCCATAGCCGGGAAGCATCCGGTCGTAGTACTCAGCACCAGCCGTCTCCGCGCCATGAACAGCCGGAGGCGCAACTTGCTGGAGAATCCGGATATGCTTACGCCGCTGGAACTAGCACGAACCACTCGCCTTCCCGACAGCACCTCGCCGACCCTGGTCGCTCTCCAGCCGCCGGCCACGCCGTCTCCGTGGGCTCCGCTGGGACGCCGAAGCACTCACCCTCCGGTCGTCTGCATTCCCATCGCAATGGTTCGAATGACACCATCACACACGCTGCGCCAACCAAACCTTCTCCGAGCAGCACGATTCATCATCAACTGCCTCATCGGACAAGCGCTACGAACCTCCACGCTCACGCCCATTCACGACCTGATAATGCCTCGGTTTCTCGTCAGCCTTACGCCTCGTCTGGATACCCCGAACCCGCTAGATATCGTTCTCCTGCACCCCCGGGATACCCGACTGCTCAGCCCTCCGCCAACGGCGCCGCGACCAGTCATTCGCAATCGTATAGTACGCAAACGCCGGTAGGCTATTACGACTATCAGCATGGCCGCAATGCGCCACCGCAAGCGCAGACGGCTCAATATCCGCAGACTCCCTCGCATAGCCATCCTCGTACTGCTCAAGCCGCTGACTATGGACACCGTTCACAAGAGCCACCCCAATCTGCGCCCCCTACCACTGGCACGATGCCCGTCTCGGGGCAGCGTGTTCCCCCTCGATCAACAGCTTCGCCGGCGCCGACTGTCAGGCCACCACGGCTTACCGCTGTCTCGTCGCCTCCCGGCAAGGTGCCTGCTCCCCTGCAGTCTGCGCCTCCTCAGCCAACTCGCAACCAGACGTACCCGGCGCCTGCTCCAAGCCATTCTGCGACCCCTTATCCTACCGCCCATTCCCGCACGGTATCTGACCCACAGTACGCCGGCCGGGCCGGCAACGCAGCCTATCCTTCCGCTACGGCGTCCTCCAGGACCCAGGCATCGTCTAGGCCGGCGGCGTCTGGCGCACCTCAGCAGCAGGATGTACTCCTGACGCCCTCGTCGTTGGCTCCCTCTATGCTTCCCCAGGTCGCGCCTCCCGTGCCGCTGGGTCGCACCACGTCGAAGACGTCGACAAAGGAGAAGGACCCAAGGAAGAAGGGATTCTTTGGCATTAGCCTCTTCCGCTCTCGCTCTTCTCCGCCCAAGGAGAGGGAGGTCGAACCTCAGCCATCCGCCACTGCCGCTCCTGTGCGGGAGAAGCGCCCGCGCAACATCTCTCAGCCGACTCAGCCTTTGGCGCATATGCAGACCCCGTACTTCGCAATCAAGCAGCCTGCCACTATTCCCACTCCTCAAGTCGCCGTGGCTGCTGTGTCAATCCCTCCTCCGCCACAGCCTCAGCGTGGAAATAGTGCCGGCCAAGTACCTATCGCTGCGCCGACCCCGGTTTCCGCATCCGGGAACCGTAGTCCGAATGGCAAGATGTTCACGCCTTTCCGGCTGTTGTCCCGGAGACACCGCACAGTCTCCGCCGCCTCCGTCGAAGCGGTAGACGGGACGGTGGTATGTCATCTTTTCCTTCAGCGTCTCATGCACTGGCTGACGATGGATCAGATAAACGCGATGTTGACTGGCGGAGATTCGACAAGGAGCTCCACTGCAGGACGTCCATCTCCGCCTCTCCGTGACCCAATGACGGCAGCGCAGGAATGGCGCAACAGGGAGGAGCACGAGCAGCAAGTTCGTGGCACCCTGCGGAGGAGACGTCCCGGAGTGACGTTTGACGTTTCCGAAGAAGTCCCCGAGGACGGCCGCGTTCCTGTACAGAAGTCGCTGAGGGCCAACCTGGCGACCATGCAGGCCACCGTCGTCCCGGTGCCGAACGGTGTCGAGCAGAGAAGCGACGGCCAGACCACAGGAGGTGGTATGGAAGGCAACCCGACTCGTCGATGATAGTCGGGCAGATGGGTCAGAATATCCCTCCATTATGAGGCCCATCCTAATATTCGGGTATAGAGTCGTTGTGTTATCTATGCATGCACCTGCTTTGTAAATGTATCCCTATGTCCCAGTCGTCGTTACAGTTGTTGCTAGTGCAGGATGTATTGTATTCCTAGTGTAATCGTGAACAAGCTACCGGTCTTCTGTGAAGTCATTTACGCGTCGCGATTGGCGTCCCCTTGCTAGACACGACCCTCGATATGGAGGTTGCTTTCCTTACTGACTTGCTGCCCGGTGCGGCGTCGACTTGACAAGTGGTTGAATGCTAGGGAACATATGAATGGTCATCTCGCGCTGTGCCCGCTACCGATTCATGTCTTACTACAAATTGCTTTGTGTATCGGTTCGATGGTGTAGTTGGTTATCACGTCTGTCTCACACGTCCTCCCTAAGAAGGATGGAGCGCACAGGAGGTCTCCGGTTCGAGCCCGGATCGAACCACATTTTTTCACCCGGACTATATTTTTGCATGGCTCGCGGCACTGTATGGGTATGCAGTGTTGCTCTGGCCCGAAACCGGCAAGCTGCTCCTTCCGAGCGAGATTTAGCCGTTCAACCAACCAATTCTGTTGCAGGCCGTGAGTAGCGTCTCTGATTGTGAGAAGGGTAGGGCGACCGCGCCGGATTGAAGTGGGAACACCGGCCTACCTGAATGGCATTGAGCACACAGAGAAGGTCGGCGCAAGCCGTGTCTGTGGTCCATACCGCACTTTCTCGTGCGCACGAATATGCGTGTGGGACCATTGGCAAATATACGATCTAGCAGACGGAAGTAGCACAAGCAGCTTGAAGTTGCAGTCTGAGTAACAGCCTGAGCTTCACTAGCACTAGCGCCAGTGCATTGGAGGTGGATCAACGCCACGCGTTCGATCGAGTGGCAGTAGACGCCGAGCCCATTACGATCTCGCTGCAGCTGCGCGTCCGACAGTCTCGCAACAGTCCTTCTCTTCTCCCCTCTCCCATCCACTCCCTTTCCCTCCTCCCAGCACCCTCTCTCCCTAACGCGGCCTCTTGCAGGCTCGACACCGTCGCCAAAGATGATGACGCCTATGCGTTACGTGGTATTGGTGCTGGGCATCATTGTAGGTCTCCCTTTCCGCAGTACACCCAGATCCCCCTCTCAAACTCCAGCCACGTAGATCAGTTTGCATTTCATCCTCAGTTTCTCGCACGAGGAGTATGGTCGCGCAACCTCCCTGTCCCGCCTATCAGAGCAGTTTGGCGGCTCAACACCTCACCCCCCGTACAAGGACGGCGTGCCGGAGGATTACTACGTCCCCTCAACGCCGCCCCCGCAGGGCAGGAGAGCGAACGCTACCTTCGTCTTCCTGGCTCGCAATGGCGATCTCAACGGTGTAATAATGAGCATGAAGCAAGTAGGTGGGTAGCCTTGCCTCTCAAGCGAGCTTGGATTGTGCTTCATACGCACGGCAGAGGACCGTTTCAACAAGGAATTCCAGTACCCCTACGTCTTCCTGAATGAGGAGCCCTTCACAGAAGAGTTCAAGGAGTGCGTATCCTGTCGAGCGTTTTTGACCATCGCCACTGCTAACTCCCGTCATGTAGCCGTGTTCAGACTCTCACCGACGCGAAGGTCGAGTTTGGTCTCATCCCCAAAGACCAGTGGTATCAGCCGTCGTGGATAGACGAGGAACGCGCGTCCGCCGCTCGCAAGGACATGCTGGAGAAGAACGTCATCTACGGAGGAAGCGTTCCCTACCGCAACATGTGCCGCTTCAACTCGGGCGTGAGTTATCAGAATTTCTGACGATATGGTCGCAGGCTCACGTACACCTAGTTCTTCTACCGACACGAGCTGCTGGCTAAGTACAAGTATTACTGGCGCGTGGAGTGAGTCCACAGTCCCTCCCGAACTTAGGTCTTCATCTCACTTCGACTAAGGCCCGATGTCACCTTCTTCTGCGACTTGCACTACGACGTAGGCTCGCATTCGTCCCGGTCACGGTCTCATAGCTGAGTCATGTCTCCCCATAGCCCCTTCTCCTGATGCAGGACCAGAAGAAGGTTTACGGTCAGTTCCGTGTAATATCTTATAGGTGCACAACTTTGCTGAATGTCCTATTTCCGTCCAGGTTTCACCATCTCCCTCTACGAGTACCCAGCGACGATCCCGACGCTCTGGGACACCGTCAAGGGTACGTCGTTCGCGCATACGCACCGTAGAATGCGTTGCTAACAATGCGCTGCAGAGTTCATCAAAGAGAACCCGGAGCTCATCGAGCCAGACAACGCGATGCGCTTCATCTCGGACGACGGCGGCGAGACCTACAACAACTGCCACTGTGCGTGCTAATCCTCTTTGTAACGCAACTCTGATCTGACCCGTCTTGCACCTCGGACAGTCTGGAGTAACTTCGAGATCGGTGACCTCGACTTCTGGCGTGGTGAGGCGTACTCGAAGTTCTTCGACTTCCTGGACCAAAAGGGTGGCTTCTACTACGAGGTGCGCCTAGGCTCGTCTCGCACGCCTGCCAGAGCGCTGACCACGCCCCGTAGCGATGGGGAGATGCGCCCGTACACAGCATCGGCGCCGCCCTGTTCGCAAAGAAAGACCAGATCCACTTCTTCAACGACATCGGTACGCGCCCTCGTGTCGTGTTTCCTACATCAGCAAATCACTGAAATATGAACGTTACCGCAGGATACCGGCACAACCCCTTCCAGCACTGCCCACAGGGCGATGCGCACAAGAAGGGCAAGTGCTGGTGCAACCCCTCGGAGAACTTCGGTGAGCTCACGTCCTCTTCGTTGTCCTGCTATCCGATCCGAGGCTTACATTACCGCGCTATACTACAGATTACGAGTGGTACAGTTGTCTCAAGCGCTACGATAACCTGTTTGCCTGAGCTGCGCTGCCGACCTATGGTCCTTGTATATCCTCCCTTACGCTATTTATTCCCTACTGCTGCTACTCTCTATCACGACCGCGCCCGCATCCGCATCCGGCTTCGCGACCTGACCACAGGGAGCGCACTATATATGCGCACTGCTGCGATCGCGCTGAGACAGCGGCCGTCAAGGAGGTCGCTGCGGCAATGGTGGTCCGCCGCCCCGGTGGTGCCGTGCAGGGCTAGACGGATGTCATGTGAACACTCGTAGCACTGGCGTCGAATGACAGCCTGTCATAGAATGGACTGCGAGTAATACTGATACTGTGGTTCACGAAGATGGAGGTCAGCGAAGTACAGTGGGGGCACCGACGTTGGGACTTACAGAATCGTATAGCCTCGTCCAGTTCGAGCCTAGAGACGTGTCGATGAGCCGCTGTACGTGCTCCTCGACAGCAGCTTGGGTCAGAGCCTGCTGGAAACGCTCCCGCAGGAGGATCGCTGTCTGTTCGCCAAATGCGGCGAAACATGGCAGCGTCGAGTCCTTCTGCATCAGTTCCACTAATGCTGCACGACCAATGTCAGCTCTCTCCCGTTCGTTCAAGGGGAACTCTGGACGGCGACACTCACTGACTATCCGGTCGCAGTGCTTGCGCGCAGCGTTGAAGCCCTCGTGGAAGAGCTTCCGGAACTCGCGGTACGCAGGGCTGTCGAGCCCGCCGAGCACCTCGATGTACTCGAGCGGGAGCTTGAACGGCGCGGCCTCGAAGCCGATGTTCCCAGGCGAGTTCGAGAGCATGAACCCGAAGTCGATGTGGATGAGGTGCCCGTCGCGGTCGAGCAGGATGTTGCCGTTGTGCCGGTCCTTGATCTGCAGCAGGTACGTGACGAGGGAGTACCCCGCGAGGGATTTGGCGAAATTGCGCTGCGCGCGGACGTACTTCGCCGAGGAGGGGTCGCCGTAGGTCTATCTCACATGTGAGCCCCTGGGTATGGCCGTGGGGGAGGGGAACGTACCGTCTTGAAGTGGTCGAGCAGGGTGACATGCCCGAGCCGGCCCTCTGCTAACCTCCGCGCGTACTCGGCCTTCTTGATCGAGTGTATTGAGACCGCGTCCGTGATCGTCTCGACCAGACCAGACGAGTTGCCCGTGATGAGAATGCGGAAGCTGCATGACGGTGAGACCTGGTAGGGACAAAGTGCGGTGCCGCTCTGAACTCACTATCGTACCCAGCATGAGCAGTTCTCCTCTTTCCAGATCTTCTCGAACTCCTGGATGAGCTGTACTGCCAGCTGCTCCTGTCGCAGATCACCGCCGGTCTTGACAATGACGGACACGCAGTCCCAGTTGGCTACATGAGAGCTACTCAATACATGACTCGAGCAGTGCCTCTGAAGCAACCCACCGAGATGGCCGTATGGCGACGCTTGTCGTACACGAGCCTGACAACCCCGTCTCAGCTGAACCAACCTGGGCAGAAGAGACGACGGCACCAACCTTCTTCGCAGCCCAAGACTCACTAAACACAACAGCAGACGGGTCCGCCTTGCTCAGCTCCCTGCGGATGATGCCCTCATCCTCCGCCGTCTTCATGTCGCCGTTCTGAGGCACTATCCTCAGCGAGCTCTCATTGACGCCGTTCTCGCGCATCCGCGCCATCCGCTCCTCCTCGAGCGCAAGCATCTCCTGCATGATGCGGTCCCGGATCGCTGCCGCCTCGGACGCCTGCAGCTTCATCCTCATCGGAGCCGCTGCTGCTGCCGCAGCGGCGCCAGGGTCTGTAGACCCACCCGGGCCAGAGGGCTGTGCGCTGCCGTTCGCGGACGCGCCTGTTAGCCAGCTCGTCCCAGGAAGCCAACGTAAGGGAGCGCCGAGCATCGAAGATTCCGGAGCTGGTGGCGGCATTCCAGGACCCGTGACAGCTGTAACAGGTTCCCGGACAAGGCTGGCGTTCAGCTGGGCGAGCATGACCGCCGCCGTACGCATGCGCTCGGAGTACTCGTCCAGAGACAACACGCGCGTAGCCATCGCTCCCTGACTCTGCTGCTGCCGCAAGGGGGTATTCGGGTCGCTCGAAGACCCGGCGCGCTGCATCGGGGTGGGTATCGTCAGGTTGAGAGAGGGGGTATGTGCCGGGAAGGGGTCGTGCTTGTCGAGGAAGGGTGTGTCGGGGTTTGACGATGTCCGAGACCAAGTCACCATGTCGAGCTCCTTGTTCTTCGGCGGTGGCGGAAGGACGATCGAGTCGGAGAGGTCGATCTCGTTCGCGCGAAGCGAGCTGTCGGTGCCGTACAGCTGTTCGACGAGGTCGATCTCTTCTTCCTCGGGGGCGGTTGAGGGGGAGATTACGGAGGGAGAGGTGGCCGAGGGTTCCGATGCGGGGTCTGCAGCCTCTCCGGCTTCGGTTCCTAGAGCAACCTCCGAGCCGTTGACGTGATCAGGAATGACTACTGTTTGCTGGCGACGCGGGTCATTCTTGGTGAAGGAGGCGAGATCTCTAGAAGTCCCCTTAGACTCGTTCTCCTTAACCACAATCTTCTTGAGGATCTCCTTGTTACTCCGCTTGCCGGGGTCGAAGTCTAGGTCGTTGT